CCCTGGGCCCACTGGAGCATCTCAGAGGTGGAGTGGGTGGGAGCCCCTGGCCCGATGCCCAGGACCATTCTCCCTCTCTTTTGACCAGGCCCATTTCCTGCTCACCCTCATTTCAGCTGCTCTGACAGGGGCAATTCTGGAAGCTTTTTGAAGTTAAAGTTGACTGCCCTTGAGGGAGGATGAGCCAGGAGGTGAAGGGAAATGGACCAGGGGACCACCCAACCCTATGAGAAAAACAGGGGGCGGGGAGCAGGTTCCAGGGTAATGGATGTCCCCTGCCGTTGTTCCCTAAACACTAAACATGGGCCTGGGGGCAATGTGGGGCTGGAAGGAGCAGTGAGGCTGCAGCAGGACTAAAGCCAGAGACGGGAGCACAGGAGCTGGGGGTTGTGCCCAGGACAGCAGCAACACTGACCTCAGAAGCATGTCCAGCCAAGGACGAGGAGACTACCTGCCAGTTGCCAGTCCTGGGCGCAGCAGGGGGCAGGAAAGCACACTCCCTGCCTTCACATAGCCTGACCCCTGTGCTAGGAGGACCACCCCACCTGTCACCCTCCCTGGCCCAGCTCTAACCCTAGTCCTGTCCCTCTAGGCACTGGCTCTTCCAAGGCAGGTGGATGCACAGCAGATGGGCACTCCATGGTGACAGGACCAGGCTGAGGGCCATGAGGATAAGGGGGCCAGTGGGAGGGGAAGTAAAGGAGGGGTTTGTGGGGGAGGAGGGGCCAGCCACAGGAGGTGGGGCCCAGCCAAGGGAGGGACCAGCAGTGGGAGAGGGGGATGGTGGGAGAGGAGGGTTCCAGCTGGGGAGGAAGGCCTGGCCAGAGGAGGAGCCATCGGGGAAGGTATGGCCAGCAGAGTAAGAAGCTAGGGAAAGGGAGGCAGGGCATGGGGTGAACTGGGAGGAGATAGCGGTTAGGCAGTGGGTACAGGGTGTGCAAAGGCATGGGGGCACAGCCTGAGTGCTGGCAGATTGGTGTCACCAGAGTACACCTAGGCCATGAGCTTTGCTATCAACAACCAGGTCACCCAGGGCCCTGTGCCCTTCGATTCTGCGCCCTGCGGTTAGGTTGTTTCACCTCCAAGCAAGCAAGCCATGGTTCTGCACCAGAGCTCAGGCAGAACTAGAGCCGCACAGGCAAATTTCAGCTGACTCCCATTTCTCCATGATAATCGTGATTTCTGTTATCCTGCCTACAGCTAAGAACTCAGTAGAAACCGAAATGTATTTCATTTACATTGATAAGCAACCAAATTGAAAGCATATAATTTGCACACTGCAATGGATCACTACTACTTCAGAAAAAATTTAAGTAAAAATATAATATCCTGATTCACACTGGTCAAAAAGTGGGTATTTCAAGGCTGTGTAAAGTAGCAAAGGGAGGAAGCTCAGAGCTGGCAGAGACCGGGTCTTCCTCTTGCACACATGTGCTGCACCCTGGTTCTCCCCCTGCACTGCAGGGTACAGGCTGGGAGGGGGAGCCTTGTGGGAAGGACTGGGGCCCTGCCCAGGCCCTCCTTTCCCAAGATTCCAAGCTGCTCCCTCTGAGGCTCTGGGTCTGTGGGTGGCATCACAAGGGGCCAAGCCCAGACATCCAGTGTCTCCCTTTCTCCCCCTTCCTCATCCTATATGTTCCTTGGCACGCACCCCTACTCCACCCCTATGATCTCCAGCCCACCCTGGCAGGCCTTGCCCCCTACTGACTGAGCAGCTATGGATGTCTTGAACAGGATGCTTTCAGTTCTGACAGGTGCTTAGCTAAATAAAAATGAATTGTATTTCATTTAGGTACAATCAGTGACCCAAAAGCAAGGGGCTGGGAGAGGAAAGGAACTCATTTCCGGCCACTTAGCACATATTTATGGGTACTTCCTTAGTGCTGGCCCAGGTAGGAACAAGGCTGTTTCCCCTGCAGACCTTTCTGCTCAGGGTCATCAGTATCAAGCACGCCTCCCGGGCAAGAGCTAAGCCCTAGCTATTCAATTCCATCTGTGCTAATAATCATGCACCCTAGCTTTCAGAGTTCTCTCCTCTGCCTCCCAGAGTCCTTGGCCAGCTTGGGCTTTACAGAGGAGGAACCAGATGCCCCAAGCACCCTGGCTGCATTTCCAGAGCCCTGTGCACCAGAAATGGAACATGAATGCTGTAGGGAACCCCAAGAGCCTTGCTTCGGAGGGGCAAAGGCTCGGAAAAGACAACACAGGAACTTGCTCCATAGCTCAGAGCACGGACTTGAACCCATGCCTCAGAATGCACAGGATTTTTCCAGGCCTCCTCGGGGCTATCCTTGATGAGAAAGCATTTGGGTCTCAGAGAAACGGGTGGGATTCGAGGAAAGGAGCTGCTTTGCCCCATGGAGTTAACCTGACTCTGGAGCTCACTGGGCTGACTAGTCACTGGGCTAAGCACCAGGAGTTCACCGTGGAGATCTTAGACTCTGAAGTGGCATCCTGCTATGTATGCAGCGAGGGAAATCCCCTGCAAAGATTCCTTCGTTCATTCAGTCCATTGTTCATCCTCTTTGGGTCATCTACTCCATGCCCAGCACGGCTACTACCTCCCCAAAATTCAGTACAGAGGACAAGGTGCTGTCAACAAGTGACTGCACTGCAGAGTGGCACAGGTCTGAATAGGAGGCAGGTGGTAAAGCAGTGAAGAGCAGCAGAAACGCCAACACTGTGTAAATGTGTGTGCCATCTTCTTCACCCTCTCAAGCACCAAGTTGCACAGCTCATTAAGGACAGATTTCACAGGCTCCTGGAATTCTCTAATTGAAAGACAGAATCCCTGGGGGATCATATGCCCCACTCCCCCCACTGTATGTTTCCCTGTGTTGATCCCTATGTGTTTGTCAATATCACTTTCACCTGTATAGACACGTGGACTTGAATAAAACATTCTAAAGAGGCCAAGATGTGCTTTTCCAATATGAAGTTTTTGTCTTCATTACAACCCTGTGCGGTGGGGGGGCAGGGGTGTTCTGCCCTTTACATAGGTGAGAACCCTGAGGCTCAGTGAGGGAAGGGTTTAGATCGCCCAGAGAGTCACAGCTAGCAGGGAAACCCAGATGTCTGCTCCCTAAGAATCCTTGCTCCTAGGATGGGCTTCCTTCCCCACTACAGTAACAGTCACAGGGCTCATCTTACCCCAGGGGGAGGGGCAGAGCTCTGTGTCCGGAAACTCCTTGACAGACTCTCCCCTCTCTCTCATTTTTAGTCTTTAATTCTCTAAAAGAAATGACTAAAGGCTACATGGGAAATGTCTTTATTTTAAAAGGGAAAGACAATAACCCAGCCTTTTATTACACCAGCTGACTCCCTGGTGTAATAAACACAGAGAGAATGCAGTGTGGTTGGGATCCCTGGGCCTGCCCAGGGACCAAGCTCAGCCCCTCCCTATTCCCGAGCTGCCCTAGCATCTGGTCAGATTGGGGAGGCCATCTTGCGGGTGCGGGTCTGGCTGTGGGGGCCAGCATGAGGCCCAGGCTAAACACAGACAGATGGGGGTGGGGGTAGGAGATACAGGAATGCTCCCTGAGAATGGTCAGGCAAGGCCACGTGCTGCCCACAGGAGGCTATGGAAGAGGTTGTGGAAGAACCCAGCCTCCCTCTCCTCCCTGGCATGCAGTCCTCTGCCTCTTTTCCCCTTTCCTCTGCCTTTAGCTGTGCCTTTTTGCCTCTGCCCTTCACCTCTACCTCTCTTCCTCTCTTCCTCTGACACCCTCTTTGACAATTCTCCATGTACTCCCTCCTTACCTCCTGCCCCTACCCATGGGTTGAGCACATGCTGGTCTCTCTCTAACCCTAAGACACAAGTCCAGTGATGTGTCTATCCCTGTGCCAGGCTGAGCATCTCATGGCTCCTCTGACTGTGTGCTGCCCCTGGCATCACCGCCTGAGGACGCCTCCTTAGATCCTTGGTTGCTGGTCCCCTGGGGCCAGGCTGAGGGAATCATCACCACCGCCCCCCTGTTATTCTTCCCTAATCAGCTTCTCCTCGGACCCCTTGCCTCTCTCCAATTTGCTCCCATCACTGCTTCCTTTCCTGAGATGGGCTTCTCCACTCCATTTGATTCATACCATCCCCCTGCTAAACTGCAGCAAGAGGCAGAAACAAAACCTTCCTCAGGGTCTTCCAAATCTTCCCACCCCCCACTCCCCAGCCCCATCCCCGCCGCCAGTTGGAGATGGGCACAAGGGGAAGCTCTCAAAGCCCCGCCGTGGGGCAAAGACCCCTGGACCACTTCCACTTCCGGGCAGTTGGAAGAGCAAGCTCCTCCAGGGCCCAGGAAGAGCCCGCAGGAGGCAGACGGCGTCCTAGTCCTTGCAACCATCTCGCCGGCCCGACTGGGAAGACAGTAACAAAGTTCGGGAGCAGAGAAGGCAGGTTCGGGGCAACGGCCGAGTGGCAGCGACAAGGATTAGGCTGTGTTTGACCTTGGCAAACCCCACTCCTTCCAGGCCGGAGGCAGATCCACAATAGGGTGCCCAGCAAGGCTGAAAGGGCCGAAGTCCTTTCCCACCACCTATATACACCCCTGGGTCCGCAGGGCTGGGAGGCGAGCCCCGCACGCGCTCTAAGTGCACAGGAGAAGAGCCCCGCGCTTCGCGCAGAGCCGACCTTTGAGCCCACCCTGAGGGCCCCATCCCCTCGCCCACTTTCATTCCCTCCGCGGGGATGGGTGCCGCAAAAGAGCGGCGGACCCCTCTGGCCGCCCTCTGGCAGCTCACCAGCTACCTGACCTTGGCCAAATCTTTCTCTCTCCACACCTGTCTCCCCTCTCCACACTTCACGCCCAGGGGCGCTTTATGGATTGTAACTCTGAAGAGAGCCTTGGCCGGATGGTGCCAGCCCCGACTGCATCCCCAACTCGCTGGAGTGACCTTGAACACACCCCCAGTAGGAGCCTCAGTGTCCCCACCCGCCGCCTAGGAAAAAGCGCGCATCGTCCCAGCAAGTGTGTCCGACCAGATGCGGGGCGCGCGGCGGCACTTACCGTCCTCCAGAGACGTGGGCGCTTGGCGGGGACCAAGGTGGCTGTGACCAGCAAGTGCGACGCAGCCACCACGAGCCCAAAGCCGATGGCCAGCAGGCTGCGCACGGGCAGCAAGGCATAGGACACGAAGGTGACCAAAAGGAGCTGCCAAATCCCTTGTTCGGCGGCCGCTGGTCCCCCGGCCGCCCCGGCGGAACCCCGGGCGGGGCCGCCCAGCGCGAAAGGACAGCAGAGCAGCGCGAAGGTGAGGCTGAAGAGCAGCGCCAGCTGGCCGACCTGCTGCAGCTGGGGCACCTGCAGGGACCGGACGTTGGTGACCACGAGCAGCGCCAGGAAGAGGACGCAGTGCACCGGGTGCGAGCCCTTGGCCAGGCCAGGCGCGGGCCCCGGCGCGCCCAGCAGCTCCGCCAGCGCCAGCGCGCCCGCCAGCAGGCTGAGAACGGCCAGCGCCTTCAGCGTGGCCGCCTGCTCCAGCCGCAGCGTGTAGCCGCGGAACAGCGCCTCCAGCTCTGGGCAAGCGAACTCCTCGTCGCACGCCCGGAGCCCGCGCCGGCGGCTTGGCCCGGCCGCCCGCTCGGCGCCCCCGGGCTCGCCCGCACCGCCTCCGCCGCCGCCTCCGCCGC